CGCTATCACTCAGCACGTCAAGGGTCTTGGTCGGTGGCTTCGTGGGTTCTGCATCCTCCGCCTTCTTGGCCTGGGCGCCCGTGACGATGACGGCAAGAAGGAATCGTAGGAGGGTGAGCCTTCCAAAGTTCTCAGTTGCAGCAGAGGTCAGCATGCCCGGGAGTTCGATGGGAATCCGGTAGATTGCAGTCAGAACCCGCGTCGCCCGAGTCCTTTCCGGCATGGCTTCGATCAAGGACTGAAGCTGTGGGCACTGTTTGCCAAGGACCAATTCGTCTTTCGCCGCCTGCCAATCTCGGGTGTAATGGGTCGGTGCTTAGAAGGGAGCACAACTGGGCTTGCGTAGGGAGGCGGGCGCGAATCGTGGGCCTTCGCTCCTTTTGGGTCCTCTGGAGTAGATGCAGGGCGCTTCTTAGACTTGGACTGAGCTTTGGCTATTTTTGACTCTCGTTCTAGTCGCTCAAATTCCTCCACAATGGGAGGAATGATCGCAGGGCCAGTCCAAGGATGGGCAAAGAATTTGGCTGCCGCTAGCCACATCCACATCAACGGCTCGGCGCGTTGAACAATTAATGTTGGGTTGAACACGAGCGAGAATTCCCAAAAGCGAGGCGACTTTTTGTCAGTTTTGATAACGCGTTGGGCCGTTGCCACATCAAACACAACCGTGGGGCACTGTGTGGCGAGACAAAGAAAGTACTCGCAAAGAGACCAGGAACCTTTGTCGTCGTCTGCGTTTTCAAGGTCTCCAAGTGAAAACAGATTCTGCATGCTGAACCGAAGCTGGGACACCTTCAAGCCAGACAGGATTAGCGCAGCGATTTTGTCGTAGGAATGAGCATCTGCTTGGTCCGTACTGGCTTCCGCCCACCATCCAGGGCATTTGGATATTGCCCGACCAGAGTGATCCTCGGTGCGAGAGGACCAGGTGATGAATGCGTGATTCCCAAAAACCTCCTGCCTCCAAGCCTTCTTGTAGAGCCGGTGAAACTTTGACACCTTGAGTTTCTTGGTGTAGGCAACGAGCGGCCGTCCTTGCACTGCGCCATCCCTCCGCGGTTTTGGAAGGAGGGGGTTGCTTGCGTTGGCTCTTGGTGGTCGTGCGATTGGGATTATGCTTGGTGAGATTGATCGACAAAGGAGTGGTTGAGTCCGATCGAGCTTTGGCTGTGGGGCCATCCTGACCTTGGGCCACTTCGGAAGGGAAGAGCGAGCGACCTTTCATTACACCATCCTCGGCGGTTGGTGAAGGGGTTCGCTTGCTGCTGCGCTTGGGAGTCGTGATGGCAGGGTTATCCTTTGTCAGAGCAATCGACGACTGAGTGGTCAAATTTGATCGGGTTTTTTCCTCGAGACCTCCCTGACCTTGGTCAGCTACAGTCATGATCGAATTCGGGTCCTTCTCCGGCGGGTTGGTGATGCTATCCTTCATGTTGGCTTAAATTTAATTCCTGTTTCAACGACAACAACTGTTTTCCTGTACGTACGAAACGTGTAGGACTGGTACAGTTTTGTTTTGGAGAAGAGTGAGGAAAAATATTTTCTACCTTTTAGTTTTTGATTTTTGATTTTTGAGTTTTATGACTTTTTACAACATATGTTAGAAGTAAGCGACCCACTGCCGCCTGCAGTCTACCTGTTTCATTTTTAGTCGTATCAGTCGACATCATTTCTCCATATACATTTTCTTGCTTCTCCAAATATGTACTTAAAAATCCAAATATATCCAACAAGCCATACTGGTGGCACTGTATCCTTTGGTTGGAGGAGGTGCAGCTCAAGTGATGTCAAAGAAACAAAAACTAAACAGCAGAAGCAGTACAGAAGCAGTACGGAAGCAGAACTGATTGCTGTTGACAATGTTGTCACAATGATACTATGGACAAAGTTGTTCATGGAGTGGCAAGGGTATCCAGTTGAGAAGAATGTCTTCTATCAGGATAACAAAAGCGCAATTCTACTGGAAGAGAATTGTCGGGATATGACGAAATATGAGTTTTTACGTTCCAAAAAGAAACTATTCAAGTACAAAGTTTTCGACACGTACGATCGGATTTCGATCGTGATGTCGGGATTTGACGCAAGTATGCCGGACGCAATTCCGTCAGACAATCTACATCCACACAAAAAGGGAATGACCCTATACAAGTGAGATATCGGTGTTGTGTACAATGCAGTAGGGAATTATACAAGATGTCCCAAAGTACTACATTCAACACAGAATTGTCGTAGCGGTCAAATCAAGTTCTGTGAACAAGGGATTTTCCAAGGGAAAATTGTTGAACTTACTTTTGTGATTGAATCATCAATTCAAGCCAAATATTAATCAAATAGGAACAATTTCACTCAAAGTATACCTAGACACAGGAGAACTATTGTTGTGAAAGTGTTGTACAGTCGATTACAAATTTAGATTGCAGAGAGTTTGTTCTGAGCGCTAAAGGCATTCACTACAGAGCACATTTTGCTTTATTCTAACATTCAATCACAAAAGGCAACAAAACAAATTTACGTCAAGAACAGCACTGCCTTATCTACAAAGGAGCGAGTGATTCATTGACTATGGGACGTTCTTCATCCGGTGGTGGAAAAGGACGTGTGACTCCTCAGAAAGTCAAGCGCAATTTGAGTTCAACAGAATGATGAAAACAATGGAAAGGCAAGATGGTCGTACGAAGATGCCGAAGAAAGAGTGATTGATTATATCAAAGCTTCTGGAATGAAATATTCCAAAGACATGGTGAAATCAATTGGAGATGGAAAGTCGATTGACTTCAATGCAATCGCTGCAAGATTGAACGCTCCAACTCAAACTGAAGCTGTTGCATGAGAAACAGAGATGGCCCAAAACAAGATTCTCTATTCTGCAAAGCTCGACAAGAACATGCGAAGATCAGCCTACTTCGAGACAAACAAGAGAACCGTCAAATCAAACATCATGCTGAAGTTTGTGACAAAGGCAATGGATATCAAGCTTCAAGGTGAAGCCAATTTCACGACTACTCTTAAAGATCCGATCAAACTCTTGAAACGTATTGAACAATTCATGAAGAAGAGTGCTGATGCTGAGTATGATTTCTTGGATTTCTGGGAAGCGAATCAAAAGTTCTTTGTGATAAAACAAGGAACAATGGAAAACTTCATGCATTTCAAGGAACAATTCTTGAGACAGGCTGAAGTCCTGCAAGATCTATATGGCGTGGCCTGGTTCTGAGATTTTGCAGTAAAGACAAAAGCGTATGCTGCTATTGCTAGCACCGATACTGCTGCTCAAAACAAGTTCAAGGATGATATCTTTGAAGCCGTTCTTGCAACAGGATTTCTGTGCAACTGCGATCGGACGAGAACAGCTCCTCTGATGCTGGATCTTCAGACGAACTATTGCAGAGAAGTGGATTATTATCCAAAAACGGCCAGCAAAGCACAAGCTATGTTGAAAATTCACATGGAAGTGAGTAAAAATCCGGGAGTGAACCTCTACCAAGGAAAAGACCAACCTAATAAAGGTAAAGGTAAAGGTAAAGGTAAAGGTAAAGAAAGGGGAAGCGGAAGGATGGAAAGAAGGCAGCATGTTATGTGTGTGGCAATGAAGACCATATGTCTCCAAAATGCCCAGACAGACTCCCAATGGAAGAATCAGGATCAATATGTCAACTATGGGAAGAAGCTCAATCTTAATCAGATTGGAGCAACTGTCCCAGCTACTGTTCCAGCTATAGTTCCTGGAGCTTCAGCATCCACAAGTGGAGCATCAAGTGTTGCAGGAAGCGTTAACACACCTTTGTGACTTGCTGGTACTACAGGTAATGAAATGATGCAAGTTCCTTCTGGAATGCAGCTCATGCAGATTCCAACTCAAGGTGACGGCACTGTTACTGTCCCTTATTCTATGAATGCTAATGGTGAGATTGCGTTCAGTGGAATGCAACTCAGCCAACAAGGCTTCAGTGGTGCTTAAGTGCGCCAAGGATTCGATGCAACTCAAGCTCGAACTCCGCAAGCTGTAAAAACTGGATATTTTGATATGTCAAATGTCTTTCACGATGCTATCAAGGGAAAGGATGAGAATGGCAAGGATGTCTACCTTATTCCATGTCCTGCTGGTACAACAAATGTCAAACTTCAAGCCGACTGGCACTATGCTAGTGAAGATGAAGATTTGCCTGATCTTGCTACTGAAGCAGATCGAGGTCTGCAGTTTATTCAAAGCCGCAGAAAGAAAAGAGATCCATTTGGGTTGTACGATCATGTCATCATGGACAGTGGTTGTACAAACACCACCATTTCTAATGGTGAGCTTATGCATGGACTCCGTCATGCTGAGAAAGAACTTGACATGCAAACTAACGTGGGCAGCAGAGTTCTTGACGAAGAAGGTTTTCTAGGAAGATTTCCACCTCCAGTTTATCACGATGAAGTTGGAATTGCCAATGTACTTGCTATGCGCGAGATGATTGCTGCGGGATACCGCATTACCATGGATACTGATGCTGACAATGCTTTTATTGTGCAATGTGATGGAAACCGAAAGATGCGATTTGTGAATCGTAAGGGTGTGTATGTGTTGGAGCAACTTGGAGCGAATGTCAAACCAGGTGCCAAAGAGACAAGTGCGATGTACTGTCGCCAGTTAAGCAACTTAAATAATCAACCCCATTTTGAACTTTCTTCAAACAGACAGAATGGATATGCTGGACTCGAGATGACCTCCAAGATGGTAACCGTTCGAAAGAACAAGGAAGGATTCGCTCCAAGACAAGTCAAGGCTACGATGGAAGCGAGAAGTGCAATGCACATACTCAAGGCTCCAAGCACCAAAAGTCTGAAGTATGCGATCCGATCTGGTCTCATCAAGAACTGTCCTATCACCGAAGAAGCGATCAATCATGCCAAAGCAAGTCTTTGGACCTGACGCCTCTACATTGAAAGGCAAGTCAACAAGACCAACTCCGAAGAAGACGTACGACGACTTCTTCAGTCCACCAGAGGAATTATAACAGCACAATCGATCTATTACCGTCTTTATTGATCACATGGAGATGGAGAACGCTAAGTTTCTCACCTGCATTGATACTACTAGGTCTAAAACAGGTGAAAACGGAACTTCAGAATCTACCATTTCGAGTTCTCAAAATCCCCCCAAAGTGCCTGTCGATGTACAAGGATCCAAGTCAGATTCCTGTGCGTAGGATTCCGTTGTTTGTACTGGAAATCCCGTACTGTTACTTGTACATACACGTTTAATCCATATTTACAGTTGGAGTCATTTTGCATTTAACACTGTGACATAATTTGGGATTTTACATTTTGTTTGCAGACGGGAATTCAGTACTTAGCGCTACGAGTGGCATTCTCACCCATTGGCAATTCCTTGACATCATCATCAGACAGCTTATTGGGCATACAATTTCCGTTTGCAATCTCCATGTTATGCTTGCTTGATATCTCCATTTCGTATCCTCGGATCATAAGGAGTAAGCAGTCCACTCCTCCAGTCAACTAGCCAGGCTCAGGAGCGAGGAGTTTAAAACTGTGTGTCCCAACACAAGTCGGACGACCAAAGCTTGACAAGCCATAAACCCGCTAATGATAGTTTGGCGCCTAGCCCAGACCAGCTGTGTTATATGATAGTTTGGCGCCTAGCCCAGACCAGCTGTGTTAGGACTGCCCTAGCATGTACTTTTGAAAGATGGGGGTGTGGGTCGAGTTCGATAATTCCGTGGATGTACACTTCTGCTGTGATTTTTCTTCGGTCAAATAATCTATGCATGAAGTGTCCATCACTACAGCAGGTCGGAATATAGTGGAAGCACCCAACAATATGCTCACCAATAGTTATTATAGATCGCTTGCTTAAAGTGTTTCAAATTTTTGTAGTTGCATAGTCGACACCCAACATCTTTCAATCACAAAGATGTCATTAACACAACAATCACACCATGCCGCATTTCATCACTCCCCGCAGTATTTCAGATATTCGGACACAACAATCACATCATGCAGTATATGCCAGTGAGTAGGTAGTGCAGATGCGACTCGACGATCAAACATTGGAGTGACAAAACGGTATTTCTCTCATTATCATCAAAGATCATGAAATTGGAGATTCGAGATGACCTCTTCCCTCGCTTTGTTGAGACTGACTCAACTACAAGATTACAGTGGATGGGAATATAACTCGATCTTCCAGAGAAAGTGACCGATATTTTCGGTAAACAAGTCGCAAGAAGACTACAGATATTGTTACTACGAGTCGGATGGGAGTTTCCATTGCAAATATCGAATGAGAGATTAACCTCCAGAGTCATACACATGAATCGAGAGATTCGATCCGTTTTGTGTCTCAAATGCGTACTCGAAGGATCTTTTATTCGATACGCTTCTCTCGATACGCTTCGTGTCTCAAGTGCGTGTTCGAAGGATCTTTGATTCGATACGCAACTTCGCCTATCTCTGGTTTCTCTTTCTTTGTTGTTTTAAAATCATAATCTTTACTTTACATCATTACAACGATATATTCACAGGTTATTGAGCCCAACGATTCCTAACGGAAGATCTTCCTCACAAAATCGTACTTTTGAGTATTCAGCACTCCATTGTTAAACCTTGACAACTACCCTTTTGAGCCCTATTGCGCTCCACCTTCAAATCCTTTTAAGCCCAATCGTGCTTCACAGAATCATCAGATCATTGCCCGGACACGACGGAACATGGCTGATCAACAAGATAAAGCATTCGCCAACATTGCGCAAACCTTGCAGCTGCTACAACAGATGCTGGCTGCACAAGCTGCTGCTCCTATTGCTGTCCCTGCCGCGGCTGCTCCACCAGCTGTCGCGGTTCCACCAACTCCAATCCTTGATTCTTTTGATGATGCTACGCCATTTGACATCTCTTCTCGACAGGGTTCAGCAGCGGTGGCTCACGCCAGTGCTCCACTAAGAACCTCTTGGTCGGGAGTTCTTGAAGAACTTTTTCAGTTCGTACTCCTTATCCAAACCTGAGCTGCAGAAGTAAAATGGGATGCTCCGTCTCCTAATGGAATTCTCACGTATGGTACACACCATCTTCTCTCCAATTACCACTCTATTTCTCTTGCCACCCTTCAGGCTAAACATACTGCCAGAGTTGATCCTCGTGCCATTCAGAACTCAAGATGCCTCTACAACTGCTTAGCTTCAAGCATAACTGGCGATCTCAGAATTGAAATCTTTGGACAACCTGGAAACCTTCCTACTCACGGAGATGGCCCGCCTCTGTTACGCAACCTCAAATGGCACACCCATCCTACTGCCGACTGCAAAATCCGCAAGGCTTGGTTAGAAGAAAAAGCTGCAGCTGCTGCTGTAGCCAATGCAGGCGATGTTCAATCTAAAATTCCAATCGAGGAAGGTTCTGCTGCGAGCAACGCCAATTCAGGTGTAACTGCGCTTCTTGCTAATGCACTCTTGATGATCGGCGATGACGACGCACTTCATGATGTCATTTCTGAGGCGCTCTCTGCCTTGCATCAGACTTGACGATTCTGTCAATGCATTAATGTTCTAATTTGCTCTGTTTTCTTTTGCATCCTTTATGCATTCATGCATTGGCCTTCATTTGCCATCAGCTTCATCCATGACAGTTTCTCTGTCATCCGTCTTCACCTTTGTACCCACTGGTACCTCTTTGCCTTCTTTCATTGGCCTTCTTTTGCAGCCAGACACATCTGGACCATACTTTCTTGCTGGAAACTTCTTGTCTCCGATTTCACTTTTGTACCCTCTGGTACCTCATCCTTTTTACCCTCCAGTATCTCATACTTTTGGCCATCTTGCGTTGCCCTTCATTCACCGACATCATTGGCTACCTTTTGCACGTATTTTCCCGCTGGCGCTTTGCCACCTACCTTAACCTTTGTACCTTCTGGTATCACTTTCTTCCATATTGGTTCCCTATCCGATGGAAAGAGAGGGAGGAATGTTTCCTTGGATCTCCACAATCTCTTGCGAGTCCACTATTCTCTGTCTCACTTTTTGACGCCCAAGTCACATATCGCGATTCTTCCATCGCCACGCTCTCCAACGTTCGTATTCCTATACAATGGTGTTACCCATACGCGCAACTTCAAATCAAACAAGCTCGTTTTTCAAAGAAACACTCTTTTAAACAACCCTCTCGTTTGTGGAAGCAATTCTTTTGGTTTCTCACCTTGTTTGGCCTGCTTGACCGCTCACAAGTCTATGCCATACCTGACACATCTCATGCACTGGTCCCTGGTTCTTCCTTGGACACTTCTACACAACACCGGCTAATTGATACCTCAATTTAGCGCATCACCGAAGCATAAACTTCCACCGCAACTACTCCTACAAAAATTGATTCCGTTCCTCCTAAAGGCATTTGAAATGAACCGTTTTGTTTTATAGCCGACACTGACAGCACAGAATGGCTTCTTGACAGCGGCGCCAACAGAATCATTGTCAATGCTAAACACTTGCTCTTGTATTTTCAATCCGTCCTAGGAGGTGTCAAGGGCATCGGAGGAATTCGAGCTGACATGCTTGGTGTGGGCCAGTTACCGTTGCCATTACCAAACATTGATGAAAAACTCAAAGCTGATGCCGTGTTTGTCCCAAATTCCCCTTTCAACATCATTCCACCGCAACTCCTATACAAAGAGCTTGAAGCTGCCGGTTACAATCCAAAATGGCCAACTCACAACGACAAAGAATACATTTTTGAGTATACTCGTCCGGGCGAAACTCAAGCAACTGAGTTTGTTGTGCCAATAAATGACAGGGACCTATTCACATTCCGATCGGTGACAGGATGTGAAGACTTTTGCATGTCTACCACTTTGTGTGACTGCGACCGTCATCATTGGGAAGCGTATGCTGGAAGCACTTATTTTAAATCAAAAGCTACTGTTGTTTCCTGAGACACTTCCGTTTCTGAGGGAGTGCCTGATGCACCAAGGCATGTCTCTGTTTCGACTGAACCAAATGCAGTCTCGATTGAAACAAATACCAAGGGAGCCCGATACAAGAAGTTTGACATCTCAGCTTCTGAGGGAGCCCAATCTAACCCTTTAACTTCTTCACCTTTTTCAGAATCCGAACCTCGAGCAATTACTTTTGACAAACTGCACGTTTCCGAAGGAGCACAAACATATGATCCAGAGGTTGAAATCGTACGACACCGATTGTTCATATTGCATGAAAAATACGGACACCTTGGTTTTGCCAAACTCAATCTCATGGCTAGAGCTGGTTTAATACCTCGAGAATTAGCGAACGTGGATGCTCCGACATGCCCCGGATGCGCTTGTGGAAAAGCTCATCGCAAACCATGGCGATACAAAGGAACCAACAAACGGCAAATCAAACCTGCAACTCATCCAGGACAGGTCATCAGTGTTGATAAACTTGCAAGCCCAACACCAGGATTTGTTCCAACTCATCGAGGAACTCTTACCACTATGCGATACACTGGGGCGACGGTTTTTGTCGACCACTTCAGTGACTTCACCTACATCCACCTTATGACGGAAATGAATGCGGAAACTGCGGTATTAGCAAAACTAGCGTTCAAACGTGAATGTGCAACACATGGAGTTCCTGTAAGACACTATCATGCAGACAACGGTTTGTTTGATACTAAACTATTTTGAAGTTCAGTTGAAAAGGCTGGGCAAGGCTTAACTTTCTGCGGAGTGAATGCTCACCATCAAAATGGAAAGGTTGAAAGGAGAATCAAAGATGTAACTGAGGGAGCTCGAACTGCCTTAATTCATGCTGCTCACCGATGACCTGATGCAATTCACACCTCACTTTGGCCTGCCGCTCTGAAACATTACGTCAATCTCAAAAATGCATTACCTACTAAATTCTCATCCGAGATCAAAGTGAATGGTAGGAAGCAACTGACCAAGTACGAGGAATCTCCGATCTCAAAGATGTCCCAAGTGGAACTCAAACCAAACCTGGAACACTTCCATCCCTTTGGATCTCCTCTTTATGTGCTTTCTGACAATTTGCAAGCCCTAAAATCTCACAACAAGTGGACTGATCGCACTCGAGTTGGTATCTTTTTATGCCACTCACCAAATCATGCATCCAGCGTACCATTAGTATTGAACACCAAAACAGGTTTTGTCTCACCGCAATTTCATTGCATTTACGATGACGGATTTGACACCTGTAAACGAGATGTTCATTTCACATCCGCATGGCAGCGTAAAGCTCAATTGCATCTCGATGAACAAAAGAAACCAAAAACTCTTCTTTCTACCACCAACTTGTTCGCACGCAATCCAGGAGAGAAAGAAGTCCCACTTCCAATTGTGCCTCAATTCATCACGCAATGGGACGATGGCCCTTCCTTGGGAGATTTGACCGATGATTTGGATTCTAACCTTGATCTCTCTTCTGTGGCACCAACCGTGCCACCACCAGCACCTCCAGATGAAAACGTCGACGACAATATTCAAATTGATGATGTCCAAATTGACAATGTTCAAATCAAAGAACCCTTTGTACACACTTGTTCAGGACGACATGTCAAACCAAATACGCGATACTTCAATGATAAAATGGTTCACGCACATTCGGCATTTCTTGAGACTTATTCTCCCATGTACGATGATGACATCAGAAATTGTCAACTACTACAAGCAGATCACTCCGAAGAACCGCATTCTTTTGCCTCCATTTATGGATTGGCAGGATCCACTGATCTAGATACAATGACTTTCTCAGAAGCAATGCGCGCCCATGATAAGAACAAATTTGTCAAGGCCATGTATAAAGAGCTGGGTGATCATATCAGAAGGAAACATTGGAAAGTTGTCCCAATCGGAAGTATTCCAACCCACAAACGAGCCATTCCCATGGTGTGGGCTATGAAGCAAAAGAAGAACCCTTTAGGGGAAATCATCAAGTGGAAAGCTAGATTATGCTCTGGCGGTCACAGGTCCATTGAGAATGTTGACTACTGGAACACATATGCACCAGTTGTATCTTGGAGCACTGTTCGTCTTATGGTAATATTGGCTCTGATCAACGATTGGCATATGGAATCCATCAAATTTGCATTGTCATATCCACAGGCTCCCATCCGAACTGACATTTTTATGAAACCTTCCTGATTTACCAAAAACTACAGATCGATCCATCAACGTTTACAAATTGTTACAGAACCTTTATGGCTTCAAAGATGCTGGACGCACATGGTCACAGTTTCTTCACAAGGGATTGATTGATCGAGGATGGAAACAATCAAGTATTGATTCTTGCTTGTACACCAAACAAAACATTATTTTGGTACTCTATGTGGATGATGCTTGTTTACTCTCACCAGACAAAAATCTTATCAACAGAGAAATCAAATCCCTTCAAGAACAGTACAACCTCACCGACAATGGAGAACTACAGGATTACCTTGGTACCAGATTCACAAAATTACCAGATGGTTCCATCTTATTGGAACAACCACAAATGATCAACCGAATTTTGGAAATGGTTGGATTGGATGTTTCCGATTCCAGCCGAGTCAAGACACATGATTGTCCTGCCTTGAGTACCAACATCCTCGATAAAGATCCTGATGGAACACCTCACGGATATGATTGGAACTACAGATCAGTTGTTGGGAGTCTCAGTTATGTACAGGCAATGATACGTCCAGATATCACAATGGCCATACAACAATGTGCAAGATTCTGCAATGATCCCAAAGAATCGCATGCCATGGCCGTTAAACGCATTTGCAGATATTTATACAAAACCCGCCACATGGGATTACACTTCAAACCGGATAAGACAAAAGGACTGGAATGTTTTGTTGACGCCGATTGGGCAGGATCTTGGCAAGATCAAACATCTACTGATCCGCTGTCTTCACAATCAGGAACTGGATATATTTATGCTGGTTGTCCAATTGTCTGGGCATCCAAGTTGCAAACGCTTGTTGCACTGTCCACAACTGAAGCGGAGTACATTGCGCTATCATCATCTCTACGCGAAGTTATCGCACTTATGAACTTGATCAACGAATTGAAGTCATTGGATTTTAAACTTTCAGTTGATACGCCAAAGGTCAGTTGTACGGTGTCCGAAGACAATCAAAGTTGTCTTGAGATTGCGACCAATCACCGAACACGACCAAGGACAAAAAAAATCTCTCCATTTGACTCATGTTCTGGCCAAAACAATCAATATCAAACACATTTCCACCAAAGAGCAATTGGCCGACATCTTCACTAAACCATTAGCCAGAGATCAGTTTATCAAATTACGAGATCGATTCATGGGTTGGGACTCTCTCGGCAAGAGGGAGTGAGAGATTAACCTCCAGAGTCATACACATGAATTGAGAGAGTCGATCCGTTTCGTGTCTCAAATGCGTACTCAAAGGATCTTTTATTTGATACGCTTCTCTTGATACGCTTGGTGTCTCAAGTGCGTGTTCGAAGGATCTTTGATTCGATACGCAACTTTGCCTATCTCTGGTTTCTCTTTCTTTGTTGTTTTAAAATCATAATCTTTACTTTACATCATTACAATGATATATTCACATCGAAGTTTTGGATTATGCCAAAACTTAGATGTCAACCATGTGTTTTGCGCCATCGCGCGAGGATGCTAGACCGGGCATACTCGGGCAAAAACTGGCAGAAATTCCATCCGTAGAGCATGGTACTTTGGCTATGTATAAATTCCTGTCTGCAAACATGATGTAAAATCCCATATTATGTCACAGTGTTAAGTGCAAAATGACTCCTACTGTAAATATGGATTAAACGTGTACCTTTTACCACAAAAATCTGTAGGGCCAAAAGTATGATGACTAGAATCTGTAGGGCCGGAAGTATGATAGATTTCCAAGTCTCACATAAATGCCACAGCACTTCGGAGTCAGCAGAATGTATTGTGCTGACGAGTCGCAGCTCTAGATATTTGGAGTGGATATATGCAGGGCACAGACAGAATGCAGGCTGAGGGACCAATTCAACGTTGAGTTCAAGTGGTAGTGATGCAAATGCTGTTACTGTACCTGCCAGAATGAAGTTTCGCAGATGTTTCGTTGGGAGGTTATAGTCCATATACAGTTCCCCACTATCAACAATCAGCCTCTTGGAATATATGTTGTTGATCTGAGACGCTTGGTATTGTTTTTGTTGCTGTTGCTGTTGTTGAAAACCGTTTGAAACAGGAGATATTTGAAGCAGGTATTACCATGGTGGAAACGTGAGATTGTCATGTTTGACGGGATTACCATGTTTCAAGCAGGGAATACCATGTTTCAAGCATGTTTGAAGCTGGTAATACCATGTTTGAAGTGGGGAATACCATGTTTGAAGCGGGTAACACCATGTTTGAAGTGGGGAATACCATGTTTGAAACGTGAGACTGTCATGTTTGAAGCAGGGAGTGTGAAATAGGCAATGTCAAACGAACAAGGATTGATTCAGTGACTGAAGCACTTTACTATGTAGATCTTTTGCACGGTCGGAGATCACCACCATCTTCTTTTATTTATAATAATATTGTTGTACCAGCTTGTATAGCAACAAAGGGTCGGCTTGAAACATGGTATTCCCCGCTAGAAGCATGGTATTCCCCGCTTGAAACATCGTATTCCCCGCTTGAAACATGAGAGTCTCACGTTTCAAACATGGTATTCCCCGCTTGAAACATGGTATTTCCCGCTTGAAACATGGTATTCCCCGCTTGAAACATTGTATTCCCCGCTTGAAACATCATATTCCCCGCTTGAATCATGACAGTCTCACGTTTCAAACATGGTATTCCCTGCTTGAAACATGGTATTCCACGCTTGAAACATGGTATTCTCCGCTTGAAACAGGATAATCCGTTACAAGTGACACTCCCTTTTTTCAAACATGATATTCCCTCGTTTCAAACATGATATTCCCATTATCTCCCTGGACCGTGTGGTAAAAACGTGTATTTTGAGATTCTCCGATCATCAAAATTTCGTGTTTCCGCGCGGAAAAGACGAGTGTTATAACATGACCCGTTTGCCCGGACGGACACCCGAAAAAAAAGGGAACTTTTAGGGAACTTCCCGGGGATTTTTAGGGAACTTCCCTGGGATTTTTAGGGAATTTCCCGGGTACTTATAGGGAATTTCCCGGGTACTTATAGGGAACTTTCAGGGAATTTTTAGGGAACTTTCAGGGAACTTTTGCGAAACAATATTCCCTCAAAAGACAAACCATACAAATAAGAGAGAATTGCAATATAGTAGATGACGCTATTCAAAGGACGGCCATTCTCAATATTGTATTGAATCAAAACGAGAAAGTCAGTGTAAACGGTTCCATGCTTGTTCATAGTATAACAAAAACAAGTTCGTATAGTATCAAAACGTTTCAATCTCTCGTTGAAGTTCTCCTGCCGCCGAAGTCTAGCCCAAATCTTGAACTTGAGAACTTTGGGGTTGTCGGTTCTTGAATAATAGATTTGACCATCCAGTGAACGAAGACAAAGACCTTGTTCTAAACAAGACTTTTTGGCCGAATGTACGCCATTGCCCATCTGCGAGTAGACATGGTTTGGGTCCATGTTTTCGGTGATGTCTCTCCAGCACTGTCCTTGATAGGTTTCTTGGGCTCTTTTTTCGCATCGCTGGTTCTCCAATCCTTCAACTACTATTGTCCAGCATTGTCAGTCGCTCCAGTATTCATTGTAGGCTATCGACAGTGAAGAGTGCCCTTGTTGATAGCATTGGATTGTCCAAAACCGATGCCAATGGCATAATAATAATTCACAATTTGAAAAGTAACGAGATGGGAAACCAGGGATAGCATTTGGGGAGTCTCAATTAATCTCCCAAAAGTTCCAGAAATTCTCTCAAGGTTCCCTAAAAATTCCCTAAAAGTTCCCTAAAAGTTCCCTTTTTTTCCCCGGGATTTCCAGGATATCCGTCTGAAAACAGTTTTCAGTTTTACCGCGTCATCATTAATTAGCGCGTGTTTCACAACCTATAGTCGGGTTTGGCGGTTGGTTTCGCTAAATGCCCGAATTTGCCACACGGTCCTGATATCAAATAAGACATCCTCCAAGACAAAAACATCGACAACAACATCAAGCGTCTCAAATCAACAAAAACCAAAATACATTAAACTAGAGCTCTATTTAATAACTAATACTTATCTGTTCTAGGAGTAACTTCATTCATAATCTTGGTCTGCATATCCTTACAACTGCTGGTGCAACTTCGTGGCAAAATGATGAGCGATTGGCACCACTCCTCCTTTTGCTATGAATGAATCCAACGAGAAGATTTTTGTTGGCAGCGCTGAATAGAGAGCATTATGTTGATTCCTATGCAATTCATGTGGCATCCCAAGGCTGATTGTTGACAGTAGGGAACTGCATTTCCCTTGAAACGCATGGTGATTCTTCCAGAACCGCATCGGAAAAGAAAGTCAGTTGATATTTAAGGGACCATGCCCCAAAATCAGCAGGGCGTGTCTTTTTGGGGCTTGGGTCGTCTCCCCTAGAATTGATGAAGGCGATATTTTCAGAGAGCCCATGTTATTATGAAGCATTCTGTGATTTGTCACTTTGTTTGTCACTTGCGACCTCTGACATTCAGCTTAACCATGTCCTACTTTCAGAGAACCCTTCTTATCAACAGAATATTTACCAGGCTCAGGACTTGGTAGATTGGCCAGATATAGACATTTCCACTTCTCTTGCGACTGTTTTTGGATTCTCAGCCGGGTGACCACAATGATTTCCCAGAGGGAGGAGAGGAAGAGGTACTCAGTGATGTATCCATGGAAGATAACGACAGCGTGTCTCTTGAGCTTGACTAT